TAATTATAAGAATTGAATAATACATTTTTTTATCAATCGATTATTATACATTATTTACAATGGGTGCAACACGATTGCTAACGTTTCACCTTTTTTATAACACGATTGCAAACAAATGTCGTTTATCAAAAAATTTGTTTTTTTAGCCGTAAAACAAGCGATTGCGAACGTTTTTATAGGCTACGTTGCTAATTTTATAATTTCTAAATATGTTTTATTTTGTTCGGAAATTCAATTAAAATTTTTTTTCAAATAAAAACTATTCGATATTAATAATACAATATTACATAATGTATAAACTTAAAAAAATAAAAATAATAGTTTTTAAAATGTTTTTCTACATTTTTTATTTTTTTTTTAGTTAGGAATTTCCAGTTTTTGTAAGTATAAAATTAGATCCTTGTGGATTTTATAAATTATAATTATTATAATTTTTTAATGTTGATTTAATTTTAGATCTATCATTTTGATCATAAGATTATGTGAATTGTTTTGATAGCATAATAACAAAAGACCCTTATACCTGCTATTTAATTATTTTAAAAATTATTATTTAAATATTTGTAATTGCCTAACATCAAATCTGGTAACACCGCACGATTAAAAGCATGTGAAAACGTTCGCAATCGTGTTACGGGAAAAAGTCCGTTTGCAATCGTTCCATTCGTAATTGTATATAGTATATCACCCATTTATAAGTTACAACATCATCTTTGTTTATGTGTTTTTAAAATAAAATTAAATACTTATTGAATAAAATAAAAATAATGATTTTATTTACTTGGGTAGACCCGTGTACTAAATAAGTGCACAGCGTACTGTTTTAGTTTTTAGTGTTTTTATTGTTACTTTGCGGATCAATAAACGAAAAGTCCGTGAGTGTTTTTCGGGGTAAAAAATTAGGCGTCCCTCTTGACATTCCGTTTGTGCACTCAAAAAGGAGGGTTCCATTTTGAAGAGGCATTTGGTTGCAAGTTAAACCCCAGATTTCAAACCGTTGCCTTGGCATATATATTGAGCGCGGTCCATTTTACTGTCGCATATAAATAAATAAAATCGTGCTAGAATACTATTACAGTATGACAATAATTGTGTGACAGCAAGTTAAATGAGTCTCGGAGTGGAGGGTTGTGATAGTGTTCGAGTGACAGTGAATGGTATTAGTAGGGTAGGGGGAGCTTCGTGATTTCAAAACTGGGCATTCGTTATTTTGCCATGCTCTGTGGAATTTTGAATGTGGCAATTCAATTTAACTAATGGCTGACGTCGGTATTAATTAAAATAAATCCCCAGAGAGTTGTATAGCAATGTTGGTGACGTGGTTCACATATACCTTTATATTCTGTACAGGTACTATTGCTGAGTTTATTGTAGTTACTATAGGCAGATAAATAATAATTAATTATTCATAAGAAATCTAGGGCTCCAGAGAAAGGTTGGAGGGTGCTGAATCATTTTGTATTCATGATAATATATTAATATTATACTATAGTATATTTTATATTTCATATTTATTTATACTTAATAGTATATAGATAATCAATACTTCTAACTTCACACTTCTACGTATCTATAATAGTCGACGATACAATATGTTTTTTTTTGTAATTTTGTTTTTAACAATATATAGTTTTTTAGAAATACAGTCTTGGGGGAAGAAAAAGGTGTCCTCTAGAGCCTCCTTTAGAGTTACCATAAAAGAGATGTAATTAGAGTATCCAATGGGCACTACCCGAAATTTAATCACAAAATAAAAATTAAAGTTTATTACTAATGTATATTATTAAACTTACATATAAATATATAATATTCGTGAATATATGTTTGAAAAATTGTGTTGTCTTTAAAATATGACATTAGTTCAATGCCTATAACTATATTTATTTCGAGGATGATCCTCTGTGCTTACACAAGATTATAAATATTTTATAAATATTTCGGACTTTAATTGAAAAGTTTAATCATAAATTTCCATAGTTTTATTATTTTTAATTGAATTCATCTTTTTTCATACACACTCACTCTTTTAATATTATTATGAGAAATCAAGAAGAAATCAAAACTTCGAAATTGAGTTGATATTTTTGTTTTAAGTATAACTTTCTGTAATTTGCAATAACTATTATAGTAAAAAATAACAATTTGTTACGAGTTTAACAGTTTTAGACAATTTAAAATAAAGTTTTGATGGTAGTTGAGAAAGATATTCTATCAGATTGATGTAAGTTGTACGCAGTAAACTTTTTATGTGATCTAAATATTTAATTTGAAATTATTGATTTATATGATGAATTATTTCTAATATTAAAATTAATTTATTATAATATAATAAATATATATAGTTTATATTCATTTTTATATTAAATATAACTTAAACATATGTAAAAATCAAACCTAATAAGAGCACTTGTAATCATATTATATTATTACAGATTTATTAATTAAAATTAACAAGTTTGTTAACAATTATAAATAACGGATCCATTGTTTAGAATCGCTTTTAATAGGATTAAATGTAAATATAAATAAATTAACGCTTAATATGGGATTATATATCATGAAATGTTAAAATAATTATGTAAATACCAGTATTGTAATATTGTAATTTTGTATATTTATAAATAAAAATATTTTACAATTTTTTTTTTTAAAATTCATTTATGTGTAATAATATTTGAAAATATTACGATAATTACAGTTATTAATGGTTTAAGATGATATAAAAATAATAATTTTATTATATCATTTTATTTTGATAATTAGATACTATAGCTATTTGAGATTTAAAAAAAAAACAATTGTTGAAATATAAAAATTGAATAAACAAATTTAAAGAGTTAGCAGTAAAATATTTGTATTCATGAATTATAATATATAATATCTATTATCAGTTATATATATTTTAATATTTGTATTAGGTATTTTAAATAATAAATTTAGTTAATAATAACTAAATATTAGGTATAATTCTTTACATATTATACTTACCTAAAAGAATAATGATTCAAACAAAATAAAATATGACCTAGGATAATTCATTATTTATGTATTATTTACAGTAAACTTTAAATGATATAAGAAATTATTAGGCTAATTTCATTTGTAGAAATATATGATCATTTAGTTTTTTTTTATTTCTTACTGTATTATTTTAGAATCTGTAAATCATGAAAATATTGTTATTATATACGTTTTAACCAATATGTGGTAGATTATATTATAATAGTTGGTTAAATTATTTCTATTGCGGTTATTTCTTTCTCACAATAAATATTTCTTAAATATATCGATGCCTTAATGTTACGTAGTGAATTTTAGACACTTACTATAATAATGCTATATCTGTTTATTTTAAAATGGGTCTGTTCTTCTGAATCTATTGTTTTGTTTAGGATTTTAAAATGTAAACACTCTAACACTGTATCATCTATACTTAAAAGCATAGTTTTTCATATCCATTTCATCAGTATTTTCAACGTGTTTGTGATTATTTGAAATCAGCAGCAGCCTTTTGACCTAATGATATTATTAAAATCGATAATTTTATCGAATTGCACGTTATTATTATATTGTTAATATAATATGTGCATTCAAGAACCGTTCGCATACATGTATCAGTACACATACAGAAACAGCTAACTATTTACAATTGGACATTTGCATTTTAGAGCAATAACGTGCACAGTGATATGTGTGCATTTATGCATAAACACGTATATATAATACATATTATATTTTATATAGACTGTGCGAATAGGGGCTATCAAAATATCGATTTAGGTGTCCGTTATATACAACAAGCAGATGGGCAGCGAACGCGTGGGGCACATTCCTCGGCAATATTCGCGTTTTGCATATAGTGTATATATTATAAATTATATGTATATTTATTTATAGTGTGTGAGAGAGAGATATAGATCGATGAGTGGGTTGGTGGGGGGAGGTGGATGAAGAAGAAGGGTGAGCGCAAGCGAGATAGGTGTGTGAGTCGTTTTCAATTATACAACCAGTCAGATTTATGAAGGTATTATTTCTTGCCCTCCTCTTGCGTGTATCCGGGGCACCACGGCGGGTGTTGGTGTTTGGTCATTATTTTTCCACCCGGCCACTATCCCTTTCCTAAAGCTGCCATCCACTCCCGCCATCATCACTGCCACCACCACAACTAGTTCCACATTGTGAATCATCCGATAATAGCATGTTACCAGGGATGGTAATATATACATACATACGATTTTTCTCATTGCCACTGCTGTTGCTGTTACTGTATTATTGCTACTGTTCGGTATACTGTAGTCTGTGGTGTATATAATAATATTACATATACTATGTAGATTACAGTGGATTTATTTATCGTTAATCAAAAAATATAAGGTATTTTAAAATTTTTTGAACAATTATGTTTTATATTATTCAACGATTATTATAGTATTAATTTACGTCGCTTGATGTGAAATGCCTTCAATGTGCAAAATAGTGATTTTCAAACAGAAACAATTAACTATTTAAAAAAAAAAATAGTTTAAATAGTTTGACTATACATACATATAACTCAATACCTATATAAACACTTATATTAAACGTCTAAAACAAGCTAATTTTTTTTAACACGTTTTTTATAAGCTTATGAATCAACTTGGATAACATTTTTGTAGATAATCAAAACTTATTTAACAAAAAATAATATAGATAAATAGTATTCAATATTTTTAATGTTATAGATGTTATAGTATAAAAATTTCCTTTAATATTCACAGAATTATTTTTATTTTTTTTTTATGTGTATAGTGTGTGCGAGAATGATGCTTGTATTATATTTATAGATATGTATATTACTATTGTAATATTTTATTATCATGGTGTATGGTTATTGTTAATTGTAATGTGAATCCAAAGTTTCTATATTGTAATATTATCGTAAAAAATCATGTACATTTTTATTTTATAATATACTTACTTATATTGTATTATATACTCAACGTTCATACTTATTATCTCAGGAAAATTGCCGTCACTCAACCATTTCATAAAGCACTATACGCCTGCGGAATACGACCGGGACGGCTTGTTAGAACAGCATCGGAGGATGCGCAGGGATACCGCCGCTAGTAATCAACAACTGCAATCGCCGTTACGGCTCACCATCGCTACGCCACACAGGTTAGAGTTGCATAATGCTATAATATTAAATATTCACTTTAATAATACCTTATTAACGCTAAATATTTTCTGCTTAATAATTTTGCCCATTTTATTTATTGCTGTTATCGTTATTTTAATAGTTATTGTTTGCTATAAAAGTTTGAATTGACCTAATTAGTCAGTATAGGTATTGTGTATAAAAACTATCAAACATTAAATTATATATATATGTGTGTATTATCTTTTAAATGTTTCTACCAAAGAGACATGAGTCGATATTATAATTTACTATTTAAGATATATCGATATCGTTAGTTCGTTCCATTATATTATAATAAAGCTCTGGGTTTAAGTATGAAAAGCTATTTTATTTGCATTGCATTGTTTTTATTGAGGATATTAGGTATTTAATACATATTAATGAAATTATTTTAAATACGTATGTGTAGTTTACTTAAGTGCTAGGAGGGAGGGACACACTCAAAATTGCTTATAATACTACATTTATATCTATTTTTATCTTTTAAAGATACATTAATACAAATATATTATTTTTGAGTGAGCCTCAACTCACGAGCGCGTTTTACAGGTGCGGTGTGGATATTGAGCTGTAGTGTGTATTTATAGTAAATTAAACTAAAAACTTATGCTTAATTATTTTAAAATATCTTTCTTGTAGATTCTTGTTATTCTTTGTAGGATATGTGATTAAAAATGAAACAGCTGAAGGACCTACAACTAAATAGAAATTATTAATTTACTTGCTATGATATAGTTTTCGAAGTTTAGAGCTCTGTTGCCCGATTCTGAAATTAGATTTTACACTAGAAAACTTCTTTTGGAATTGACGAGACTCGTTTATATTGTAAACGTTTTATAGGTGTAATGTATCTAGAGAAGTGTATTTAACTATGCTTTGTTGTAATTTTCTCGTAACCACTGAAACATATTTGTAATTCGTGTGCGTTGTACACATTGATTCTTACTGAAAATAGTAGGATTAAAATTTAACCACCTTTCATTAAACACCATTCGAATCGTTGATTTAATATACGTATTTTGTTCTTAATACTTACATATTTTACTGAGAATCTATAAATAAGTTTAGTCTCTATGTATTGGACTTTACAAAATAATTGAAATTTGTTGAATTGTAAATTGTGAGATTTTTGTGAGAACATGAATTTCCACTCATAAAGTTTTTTATAGGATTAAATAAGTTTATGATACAATATGTGTTTTTTATTTTTGTTTGTAATAGTTTTAATATATTTGATTTTTGACGTTGTACGCTATATTATCATACAACATGTTAATATGTAATTTTGAATTTCTATAAAACATTATTTTACTCTCGTATTATTTTAAAATAAATCGGATAAAATAATTAGGTACGAACTATTGAAGTTTTTATATTTATTTTTATTTTTTTTTATTCGATTCACATGCCTAATAATTATTCAATTAACAGTATTTAGTTAGCGTATCTTTCATAAAATATAAACTAATGGATAGAACAAGCCTATAATAACTAAAGTCTTGGTTTTTCCTGGGAAAGAAAGGAGAGATGACAGTTTTTGTCTTTTGATTAGCTAAGTCAGATAAAATATATATTTTCAAAGTATTAATCTATCTTAAAAGTATTCATCTCTGTGAAAGAAGAACATTTATATATTAACAAAACTAAAATTGTTTTTTTAAACAATTAATATATTTTGGTTTTTTTTTTTAAATAAAATTGAAACTTTTTATCATGGTTTGGTCAAAAAATTTTGTAAATAATAATTATTTTCATTTCTAAAGTTTGGTTAAGAGTATTTTATTTTTTGTAAAATTTTGTGTTTGTCTAGATAGATAGAAGTTGCATTAGATACCTATGTTTCAACAATAGCATTTTTATTTATGATTTTGAAGTAGGTAGGTATGGTTCATAAACAATAATTTGTTTACGATCATAGTAAATGTATATATTAAATTAGTAATAGCTCATATAAGAAATGTTTTGGTGTAAATCAAAGTTAAAAACTAAAAACTTTGTCACATTATTTATTTGGAAATGTAACTAACAATATTTGTTTTATAACTACTTGGTATTTTTCAAGTATAACTTTTTACAGTTTTATTTCTACAGTTTAAAATATATTTAAATAATATACTACAATAACTAAAATTAAAGTTTTATAAAATTACTGTTCTTCAGAATCAATACAATAAAATTTAAAATTAAATAATAAATAATAAGTACATTTATTTTTCTTTTCGTTATCGTATTTTTTTTTTGTAAATTATTTAAAAATTCTTATAATAGCCACATTCGAATATATGTGATATTGTATACACTTGTATGTATGTTTGTATGTTTATATGCACGTGTGGGTGTACCGTTAAGCACCTATATCGATTTACATTCAGCTTGATATTATTGGCATAGGCATATACACAACATAAAACTTATACACCTATACAGAGTGTTTATAGCGAACACTTATTATTTTAAAATGTTTCTATTTATGTATCTTATAAGACCCTTCTTTTTATTTTTTTTATCACCTTTAAATTTATAAGTTTTACTATTATAAACTAATTATTTTTAAATAGCTAATCGATATCCTTAATTTTATAATTTAAAACGAAAAAAAAAAAAACAAAATGTTTAAAAATAAAGAGTATAGGACGTGAATAGTATTTTTTTTATTAATAATTTGAAGTTGAGATTGGCATCACAGATTTATAAGACTTCACTTCTCTTATTTAAAATATAAACAATTATAAATAATAATTTTATTTCTGCAGTAGATAATATTTATATTGAAGTTTACGCTGAAATTTTAATTAAATTATTTAGATAGTGCAGCTGATACATATAGCAGTAGTTTTTCACCATAGACAAACAAGGGGGTGAACAAAGTATGGACAAAATAAGATTACGTGTTTTACCTGCTTAGAATATTACCATTATTGAATAAAACATTCATAGAAAAGTAATTTTTGAAATAACTAGTGTTCAGTGTCGTTTAGAGAATCGCCCTGTATTCGACTATACAGAGTATTATTTAATTCTTGTCCGCGAGATCGCCGAATACAAAGAAGTCGCGTTCGTTGCATTATATGTATGTGTGTGTGTGTGTGTGCATTTATACAGAACACATTATTATTATCATCGTTATTCCCGTTATCGTATGTAACTATGTGTGCCTATGCCCTATGTGTATATATTATGCTCGGAAGGGCAGTGTCGCGGCATAGTGTTGCACGATTGTCGATGGCGTGTGCACGTCTGACTGAGAGGATTAACCTCGGTGTGTCCATCGGATTTAGTAACGGATTGATTAGCGTGTGACTAAAGGAAAACCAGTGGTTTGTGTGTGCGTGCGTGCGCGTGGGATCACCGACTAACATAATATTATATTTACGCACACGCGCCGCGTTCACCGTTATTCGACTCGTCATTTCATCGGGTTAGACGTTCCCCTTAAGGGTCGCTTTCAAAAAATCTGATACTTTGAATACGGTGCATACTTACGTGCATTACTCGGTATATCTCAGTTACACATTTGTTGAGTTCGAAGTAGTAATAGTGTGGACTGAAGAATTTTCTGTTTACTAGTACAGTAGTACAAATGAAAGTTGTTTTTTTTTTTGTAAACAAATAATAATTTTTAATTTAATTGTTAATTTTTTTGTGAACACTATTGATGCGAGAAAGGAGAGTGTTTAAAAAATATTTCCTATAAATTTCGTACGGAATTTGAAGAGTTTTTTTTGAATAAAATTGTAAAAAGTGTAGATTTATGTATTTTATTGATGTCAATTTTTTTTTTTAAATGTCATATCACACTTTATTTTGTTTTTATATCTGAAATGAACAGCGTAGAACGATTTAAAGTTTTTGTACTCCGTAGTACTTTGTTTAGGTTTCTTTTATTTTAATTTTATTATTATTCAAATTATTTTGAATTCAATCTACGCAAACTTTTCACATTTTAAAAGTCGTTATATAGGTATATCATATTTTATTGTGGATCTATAAATATACTTTATTAGTGGACTTTATATGAGTAAGTGGTAATTGGTTTTCAAAAAGAGAAAGAAAAAAATTGTTAAATATTAAAAAAGGACCCCAGAGATTCTTCTTCTTTCATAAATCAGTTTTATAATAATTTCACAGTATGTATTTCGGAATAGTAACACCATAGTAGTATAGTAATCTTAGCACTTGGATATGTTTATACAACTAAACACACGCTTACAAACTTACAAAATGTATTTGTTATGTTTGTATATCATTGAGTTTACATTTCTATAGATTTCAATGTATCTTAAATTTATCTTTGATTTGTCTACTTTTAGAAAATTATTTTAAAGTTAATAAAAAATATGTAATGTTTGTTTATGCTTTTATATCCTTAAAGACTGCAGTAAGTGTGCCTGAAGTTAAATTTATTAAATCTAAAACAAAAATTGTATTCTATTCTAGTAAACTGTATATTTAATATACCCAAATTAAAATTGTTGAATCGAAGTGTCCTTTTAAACTGATGTCAGTTCTTTTTGATAAATATTTCAACATGTATTCAAATAGTTGTCGCTTATTTATGTTAATTACTGTTTGAAACTTTGTTTAGAATTCCAATTTCCTGTGTCAAAATTTTAAGTTATAATCAAGTGAAATAATCGTTTTTAATGTTAAAAATGAGCATAATAAGCTTTTGAAATTTTAAACTACAATTTTTCGATCTTTAATGAGAAATGTATTAGTTTTTCAATGTAATTTTCAATACTTCATTAGTATTTATGAAAAATTAAATAAAAAGTAGCAAATATAAATATTACAATATTGTATAGTGACTTAATATTTTTCTTTTTAAAATTTTAATCTATACACTAAGGTCAGATATTACATACTTATATATATATACTTTACGTTTAAATGGTAAAAAAAAAAATACTTTTAATTAAAATGTTCATACAATTATATTTGTAAAATCGTTTAGCTTTAGAGCAAAATAGTGTGCATC